GATGGGAACTCACTCTGTCACCCAGGCTGGAGTGCAGTGGTGTGATCACAGCTCACTGTAGCCTTGACCTCCTGAGCTTAAGCAATCCTTCTACCTCAGCCTCCCAAGTGGCTGAGACCACAGGCATGCACTACCATGCCCAGCTAAGGAAAAACAAAAATAAATTTTTTTTTTTTTAAAGAGATGGGTTCTCACTACGTTGCCCAGGCTGGTCTTGAACTCCTGGGCTCAAGTGATCCACCTGCCTCAGCCTCTTAAAGTGTTGGGATTACAGGTGTGAGCCACTGTGCCCAGTCCTCTGTCATTTCTGATATTGGTGATTTGTGTCTTCTCTCTTTTATTCTTGATCACTTTAGTTATAAGTTTATCACTTTTATTTATCTTTACAAAGAACCAGCTTTTAGTTTCAATAGCTTTTTCTCTATTATTTTTATTTCATTGATTTATGCTCTAATCTTTATTATTTGCTTTTCTCTGCATAATTTGAAATTAACTTGCTCCTTTTTTCACTCTACTTTTCTAAAATGGAAACTGAGATCATTAACTGAGCTGCTTTAGCACCAGCCCACGAATTCTGAAATGTTCTTTAATTTTCAGTTGAAAACATTTTCTTTTTCTTTTCTTTTTTTTTTTTTTTTTTTTTTGAGACAGAGTCTCGCTCTGTTGCCCTGGCCAGAGTGCAGTAGTGCAATCTCAGCTCACTGCAACCTCCATGTCCTGGGTTTAAGCAATTCCCTTGCCTCAGCCTCCCAAGTAGCTGGGACTACAGGTGTGTGCCACCACACTTGGCAAATTTTTTTTGTATTTTAGTAGAGATGGAATTTCACCATGTTGGCCCGGATGGTATCGATCTCCTAACTTTGTGATCTGCCCGCCTCTGCCTCCCAAAGTGCTGAGATTACAGGTGTGTGCCGCGGCATAGAAAATATTTTATAATGTTCCTTTCAGTTTTTAAGTACTCATGGAGCATTTAAAAATGTGTTACATAGTTTCCACGTATTTGGAATTTTCCAGGTAACTTTCTACTATTGTTTTTTAATTTAATTCCCTTACAATCAGAGAACACACTTTTGTTGGTGGTGGTGTTTTTGAGACAGAATCTCACTCTGTCACCCAGGCTGGAGTGCAATGGCATGATGTCGGCTCACTGCAATCTCTGCCTCCCAGGTTCAAGCAATTCTCCTGTCTCAACCTCCTGAGTAGCTGGGACTACAGGTGCCAGCACGCCAAGCTAATTTTTGTATTTTTAGTGGAGACAGGGTTTCACCATGTTGGCCAGGCTGGTCTTGAACACCTTAGCTCACATGATCTGCCTGCCTCGGCCTCCCAAAGTGCTGGGATTATAGGTGTGAGCCACTGCACCTAGCCAGAGAACATGTTTTGTATTGTTTAAATTCTCTTAAATTTCTCAAGGTCTGGAAAAAAGAAAAAAAATTCTAAAGCCTTATTTAGTGGTGCAGAATGTGGTGACGAACGTTCTGCATGCACTTGGAAAGAATGTGTATTCTACATATGTTGGACAGTATTTTATATATGTCAGTTAGGTCAAGTTAGTTCATAGTGTTGTTCAAATCCACTATATATTTGCTGATTTTTTCCCCCTACTTGTTCTTTTATTACACAGAGAGGAGTATTAAAAGTCTGACTAAAGATAATTTTGGATTTATCTATTTCTTCTAATAGTTCTATTGGTTTTTGCTTCATGTCAGGATTTATCTGATTCCTTTATCATTAAAAAATTAACTTCTTTACCCCTGTTAATATTATTTGGTCTGAAATGTACTTCGATATTAATATAGCCATTTCAGGTTTATTATGGCTAATGTCAGCATGGTATCATCGTCATACATTTACTTTTAACCTATTTAAAGCATAATTTTTCCAATCATAGCAAGCTCAATAGTTAAAAAAAAAAAGTATAAGTTTTTGAAAGCAGTATATAATTGGGTTTTGTTTTTTATCCAATGTGCCAATTTCTGCTTTTAAACATTTAAACCATTTATATTTAATTTAATTATTGACATAATTGGGTTTAAATCAAACATCTTGCTATTTTTTCCCATTATTCTAGTGGTTGCATTAGCATTTATAGTAAAAATATCTTTTAACTTACCAGTATGTCTTATCAAGTATGACATTTACTACTTCATGCATAAGAACCTTGTAACAGTCTACTTAGATTCCTCCCTTCCTGCCTTTGTGCTACTCTTACCATACATTTTACTTCTATGTTATCATCCTCACAATATATGGTTATTATTATTGTCTACAGTTATCTTTTATACAGATTTAAAGAAAAACATCTTACATATGTATCCTTATAATGACAATTTCCAGTGACCTTCATTTCTTTGTGTAGATCTGTTACTTCATTGGGTATCACTTTCTTTCTGCCTGATGAACCTCCTTTAACATTTCTTGAGGTGTGAGTCTGTGAATGATGAATTCCTTCAGCTTTTGTAAATCTGAAAGTATCTTTATCTCACCTTTGTGTTTGAAAGACATTTTTGCTGGTTGCAGTAGTCCAGGTTGACAGGTTTTTTTTTTTTCTTTTAGTACTTTAAAGGTGTTCAATTTTGTTCTTGCTTATATTGTTTCTGACAAGAAATATAATGTCATTCTTATATTAGTTATCTTGTATATAAAGTGTCCTTTTTTCTCTGGCTATTGTTTTCTCTATCAATGGTTTTCTGCAATTTGATTATGATATGCCTCAGAATAGTTTTCTTCTTGTTTCTTATTTTTGGGATTCCTTGAATTTCTTGATTCTGTGGACCTATAGTATTTTTTTTTATTTTTGGAAATATTTTAGCCACTATTTCTTCAAATATTTCTTTTACCTCCCCATCACTTCTCTCCTCTGGGGACGCCAATTACATGCCTATTTGGTCACCTGAAGTTATTCCATAGTTCACTGGTATTCTTTTCAATTTTTTTCTAAATTCCCTTTTCTCTTTGTGTTTCATTTTGAATAGTTTCTATTGTTATGTCTTCAAGTTACTAATTTCTTCCACCATCAATCCAATCTAGTGTATTTTTCATTTCCCACAAAGTAGCCCAGTGAATCTTTTTAATATCTTCCATGTCTCTGCTTAATTTCTGAACATAATGAATATATTAAAATAACTATTTTAATGTGTTTATCTGCTATTCTATAATCTGTGTAGAATCTGAGTTGGTTTCAATAGATTATTCTCTAGATTATTGGTTGCATTTTCCTGCCTCTTTGCATGTCTGGTGGTCTTTGATTGAAAGTTAGATCTTGTGAATTTACCTATTGGGTACTGGATATTCTTGCATTCCTATAAATCTTCTTAGGCTTTGTTCCCCAATGCAGTTAACTGACTTGTAAATAGTTTGGTACTCTTGAGTTTTACCTTTATGATTTGTGAGGTTGGACTGAAACAACGCTTAGGCTAAAGTTATTTATTTTCTAACACTGAGTAAGACCTTCCTAATATACCCAATGCCCAATCAATTATGAGATTTTTCCAGTCTAGCTGGTGAGATCAGGAACTCTTCTCAGCCCTGTGTGATTGCCAGTTCTATTCCTTTGAATCCTTTCAGATAGTTTTTTCCTTTGGCCTTAGGTAGTTTTCTCACATGCATGTGTAAAACAGTAGTATTTTCCTGAACACTTGAAGGGAACCCTCTGAAGATCTCTGTGGTTTTCTTCGTGTGCAGCTTTCTCCTCCCTGATACTCTGTCCTGTCTGTCCTATAAATTCTAGCCACCTTGGTTTCTCTGGACTCTGATTTTTTTCTTCCATTTCCTCCAATTAGGGAGTCTGCTGGGCTCAACATGAGTTCCCTTTCCCTGGGCCATGGTCTGGAAACTGTCAAGGCAGTAGGCTAGAAAATCATAGGCAGCTCAACCCATTTGTTTTCTCTCTCTCAGAGATCACTGATTGGCTGCTTGATTTTTAGTTACTTAAAAACCATTGTTGGCTGGGCATGGTGGCTCACGCCTGAAATCCCAGCACTTTGGGAGGACAAGATGGTTGGATCACCCAAAATCAGGAATTGGAGACTAGCCTGGCCAACTTAATAAGGCCCTGTTTCTACTAAAAATACAAAAACTAGCCAAGCATGCTGGTGTGCGCTTATAGTCTCAACTACTTGGGAGACTGTGGAAAGAGAATCACTTGAAGCCGGGAGGTATAAGTTGCAGTGAGCCAAGATCATGACCCTGCACTCCAGTTTGGGTGACAGAGCGAGACTTTGTCTCAAAACAAAGCAAAACAAACCATTGTTACCATATGTTGTCTTTTTAAAAACTGTTTCAGGTGGAAGTATAAATTCAGTCCCTTTAATTTCAAATGAGCAGAAGTTTTGAATTTGTATTTCTACTTAGAAAACAGACTAAATTCAAACTCAACCTGAAATGTTAACAGTTTGAGGAAATAACCATTGAGTACTAAAGGAAAGGATTGTTAAGTAACTTCCTGATGTTTAGCTTTGTTTAGCACCAAAACACTTTTTGCTTACCAGCTATATCACATACTGACACAATCAATATCATCTGTGCACTGTCTGGGTTACTTACTCCTTGTGGGAAACTCTGGATGACCTCTGATGAGCTCCTGAAATGCTTCCCAGTGGGACTCAGTGTCCACATTCTTGTAGAAAGGTAAGATTGTGACAGGAGTGCTGAGTACAGAGAAAGGAATACTACTCCGTTTTCGACACTATGGACTATAACTCTCTTTCCTATCTGAATTAAGAGTGCTAGTAAAAATTAGCAATTGTTTTCAGTAACACAGAATATCCTCAAGGAGGTAAAGAAGGAGGCAAGGGTGTTACTTGGGATGAAGGCGGGAAGAACGCCTGCTGCCAAAACTCACAGTGACCAAATTTCACTTCTTGAGTTCTTCCCATAGAAATTTATTCTGGGACCCTCAGGTAAGAAGCCCAAGGGCTTCCACCGCCTGTTTTGATTGTCTAAGAACCAGAAAAAAATGACTTATCTTCCACCTACTAAAGATGTTGAGAATCAATTACCTGCTTGAAGCAATGGACAGGCGCTGGGACTGAACATGTTTCTTTTAGGTATTTGTCCCAGGTAAAATGACCTGTAAAGGAAATAGAAATCTATATCACAGTCAACTTCCTAAAAAAATGTTTTCAGGATATAATCTACACTAAACATTAAGTCACTTGTAGACTGGTTTTGAGCATAAAAACTTATCTTTTTTTCTGTTTGAGCTCAAAGGAGTATTAAGGGTAAGAATCTAAGTGACCTCAGTGATGTTTTAAATTCATGTTTTAAAATAATGGTCTAAAGATGGCTTGGGGTGTTCTTTATGTTAGTTCCTAAAGTGATCCAAAATGCCAAAGCAAGACATACCAGTACTACAAAGAAGTGCCCAGGAAGCTCATGGAGAACAGAATAGAAGAGGTAGAAAGTGGGTGGGGAGATTCCTTTTGAACAACCTAACTCTTGGAAAGGTCCCTCACTGCTGTCAAGTGGCAGGTTTTAACACCCAATATGGTTGGATTCTAGCATCTCAGTTCAGGAAGAATGAAGAAAAGGCTGTCTGGAGACAAAGGGTGAGATGATTTGAGGGGAGGGGAAGCCAGATGAGTGAGGTTATAGTTGAATCCTCACTCTAAAAAATGGCTCTCTCTCACCTACCCCCGCTGCACCCCCATCCCAACCACAGCTGCGCTGTTCTAGGGTGCAAAGTGACAAAGATCTGTTAATTTAGAGCAAAGTAGGACCTGGGAAGCATGTCTGATGATACAAATAAGTACAAGCTGGGGAGTCTGTAGAATCTTTTAGCCTCTTGAACTGGCCTTAGAGCTTTTCAAAGTTTGAAGAACACTGTCCTAGATAAACAGTCTTCAAGGAGAAACTATGCTGGGGCAAGGGAGAACATCTTAAGGCAGGCCATTTGATACAGATCTCAGTGGATCACACAAGATTATAAAATTATTTATTTAAAGGTTAAACCAATTACCAGTCTCCCCCTAATACCCACCTAGAGGTGACCCCATGATGGAGCAGGGAAGGTCCCAGAGAATCTCACAAGCTAAAACACTGTAGCAAACCAGCATTTCTTGAAGTTTCCTCTGTAGTGGTGCAGCACAGAGCCCCTTTGGGCCATGCAAAAAGCACTAGATGCTGGGAATAAAAATGAGTCACTGAATGATGAAATCTAAATCACTCCAAAGATGATGCCAAGACTTTATACTCTGTTGATTTTATAGCTTCTGTTTTATAACTGGTTCCTTTCCCACTATCCTTAACTAAGCCAAATAGATTTGGCCAGAAATCACAGTCAGTTCTGAACTATTTCATGAACTGGCTGATGATTAATTATCATGACTAGACAGTCCATAGGGCAAATGAGATGACTGCAAAGTCAAGGTTTAAAGACGTTATCAGAATTTAATGAAGAATTTGCTCCTAGCTGACAGGGCCCTAAAGCAAGGACTGAATACATTTCATCACTGTTTGCCGTTAGAAAAAGAAAACATTACAAATTATTATTTTAACCTTACAAATGGAATATTAAATCAAATAGTAAGCTTTGGATTTCACTGGATTAAGAATCTTCAACTTGGGCATCTAGAGCAGCACTGTCCAATAAAACTTTCTGTGCTGACTAAAACGTTCTGTATCTGTGCTAGCCAATGGTAGCCACTAGTCAAAAAGCTACTGGACACTTGAAATGTGGGTCGTATAAGAAACTAAATTTGATCGCTTCTCGACCTTTTGGCTAAGATCAAGTGAAGAAACTAAATTTGATTTAATTTTAGTTAATTTAAATTTAAATCCCTACATGTAACTAATAGTTACTGTATTAGGCAGCACAGATCAAGAATTTTGGTCAGTCCTGGGTAACTGCTTGTATTAGCTTAAGTTCTGACTAAAAGCACCCAAGACACTTTGGTCTTAAGAATAATGGTAACATCAGAGGTACCACAATAATTAGGGTATTAATTACAGTTCTCTATGACACATATCAACCATGGTAATCAATCCCTATGCTGTAACGCACACAGGCTAGAAACCTCAGTCCTTTTACCACTTAGGAAACACTCTATTACTAACTGAATGAAAAGGAAGCTTTGTTTAAAGTAGTTCACCCAACTGTGATGGCTGACTGGCTTGAACCATATCTAGGTTGGTATTTTCCTTTTATTTGATTACTTGGGCTAAGGGTTAGTTCCTTATATTTAGGGAAATTGTAAAATAAGATAAAATTTATGACTTAGTAAGAATGTTTGGACATCTACTATAATCCCCATTATGAAGCCAGACATCGTATGTCTGTCATATCTCCAAACACTAAAATAAGAACAAAAGAAATAGGGCAGACATCAAGGTATAGATCCAGAGTTAGCAAGCTTTCTGTTAAGGACAATATAATAAAAATTTTATGCTTTGTAGGTCATACAGTTTATGTCATGGCTACTCAGCTCCACCACTCTAGAGTGAAAGCAGCCACAGACAGTATGTGCATAAATGAGCGTGGCTATTCCACTTAAATTTTATTTACACAAGCAGGCAGAGGGCGGGATTTGGCCTTCCAACAGCAGCTTGCCAAACCTCTGGTATAAATCAATGACTCTCAAGTGATACTTATAGTCTCATTTCTTAAAGAAAGTTCTGGGCCCCACCTTCAGAAGTTCTCATTCAGTAGGCTCCAAGTGTGGCCTGAAAATATGTATTTTTAAAGGCTCCCTAGGTAATTCGGATTAACATCTGTGACTAAGAACTACTACTGTGTAGTTTAAACAATGTAATATTGGGAATCTGAAGATGTTGGTAAAAGTCTTGTTTCTACAGCTAACTATCTTGGGTAAATTACTTAATCCTTCCAAGCCTCAGTTTACTCATCTGAAAGATGAAGATAATATCTGCCTTACAAGATTGTAAATAGATTCTTCATTCAACAAATATTTAAGCTTCTCTGAGTACAAAGAACTGTGTTAAATGTTAGGGGAACAAGAGAAAACATGATTTCTCAATTCATGGAGCTTTCAGTCTAGAGATAAAGAGACATTAATAAACATAACACAAATAATCTGTAATGACAAAGTTAATGAGGTAGTACAGGTTGTATTGAGAATGCAGAACATGAAAATCTCGTTCATGCTTAAGCTCAGAGATTGTTGCAAAGATTAGTATTATTAACTAACATAAGTATAATGTTTTATAATTTAAACATATGTAGTGTTTTTAATTATTCCAACATAATTCAAAACACTCATAAATTATAGTTTGAATGTTTTCAATTATTCACTCGATAGATGTTTATTTACCATCCTCTATATGCCAGGCAATATGACAGGGGTCCCTGCCCTCATGGAATTTACATGCCGGTGTATGACGAGACACAATTAATATATAAACAATAAATAAACAAGGTAGTAAGTGAAAAGAACTTGAAGGAAATAAAAGGAGGTTATGTGATAGAGACTGGGAGCTATCTTAGTAAAGTTATAGATAGATACTCTATAGAGGAAATGCCTGAACTAAGACAGATGAGAAAAAGTCAGCCATCTCATTCATGAAATAATGCTTATAAAAATGTTTTATAAACCCTAATGCTTACCACATGATAGTTACATTTATTATTAAAAAAGAAAAAGAGATCCCTGCCCTGAAGGGATTTATAAATGACATTAAAGTATCTTGGCCCATAAAATATAAAGCACAAGAGGTCACCTAGTTAAATGCATGAGTCACCTTCTGTAATATTCATTCATTCAGTAAATATTGAGTATCTACTATATGATAAGCCTGGTTCTAGGTACTGGTGATACATAGAAAAAAAAAAAAAATACAGCTGCCCACTTGAAGCTTACGTTCTAAGGGAAAAAAGAGACAAATAAATAAATAAACAAACAAACAAATGTCAGCTGGTCCAGAGGGTAACAGAGACACCACATTAATTATACGATTCCTGGCTATTTTGAAATAAAAAAATAATAAAGGTAAAAGGTAAAGATGGTATGCTATTTTAGGCAGGACAGTCAAAAAAGGCATCTTGATAAGGTGATATAAAAGTTGAGGTTTGGGCCGGGCATAGAGGGCCAGGTAGGCAGATCACCTAAGGTCAGGAGTTCAAGACCAGCCTGGCCAACATGGTGAAACCCCATCTCTACTAAAAAACTTATAAAAATTAGCTGGGTGTGGTGGTAGGAGCCTGTAATCCCAGCTATTCGGGAGGCTGAGGCAGGAGAATTGCTTGAACCTGGGAGGTGGAGGTTGCAGCAAGCTGAGAGGGCACCACTGCACCCCAGCCTGGGTGATAGAGTGAAACTCTGACTCAAAAAAAAAAAAAAAAAAAAAAAAAAGGTTGGGATTTGACTGGTCCTTTCAGCCTCTGCTTAAGTACTTCCAATCATGGGACACTCATTATTTAGCTATTACTCAACAGTACAAATGGTCAGCCAACATTGGCCTTCTAACTTCTACTGGTCCTAGATATACCTACTATCTCTCTATGTCCCAAATCCTTCGACTGCTCCTAATTTGACAGGCTGGCTACTCATGTCTAGCTACTGTTCTGGCCACATTCCTTTACAAGAACTCTACATTGTTTAACCTATATGTGAACCCAAATTCCTAACAACAATTAGGGATAATCAAAGTCTTTAGATGAGAAATTCCACTCGACTATTACCATCTAAATAGTGTTCTACGTACCAAATAACAATATATTTGTTAAAAGTCATTAATGTTAATTTAAGTGTCTTTGTTTTTTCGTGTTTTTTGTTTTTTTTTTTGAGACAGGTTCTTGCTTTGAATCAGCATCAGAATGGATGGAATGGTCAGACTTTGAGTCAGCATCAGGCTGAAGTGCAGTGAACACAGCTAATTGCAGCCTCGACATCACAGGCTCAAGCAATACTCTCATCTAAGCCTCCCTAGTAACTGGGACTACAGGTGTGTGCCACCACATCTAGCTAATTTTTGTATTTTTTGTAGAGACAGGGTTATGCCAAGTTGCCCAGGCTGTTCTCAAACTCCTGAGCTGAGCTCAAGCCACCTCAGCCTCCCAAAGTACAGGTGTGCACCACCACGCTTGGCTAATTCTTTTCTTTTTAGTAGAGACAAGATCTCACTATTTTGCCCAGACTCAATTTCTATTCCTATCAAAAGTACACAAGTGTGTTTACTACATATTTGCTAAAACTGTGTTTAACAGTTTTATAATTTTGACAAATCTTATCAGTGAAAAAATAAAATACCATCATAATTTATTTGCAATTCTTTGATTATTAATAAAGTCAAAGATCTCTTTAGGCTTATCAGCCAGTTTGTATTTTATTTAGCCATTTTTCTGCTGAGACGTTCTTTGGTTTTCTCACAGATTCTAGGAGTTCTTTGTAGATTAAGGAAAAGTCACTAGAAGAATTTTTACTTAATAGAAATAAAGCATCTAGAGAAAGTGTTCTTTTCACTATACCACAGGTCCCTCTGAAAGGACACAGACTCTCAAGCAACAGAAAGAGAGGCTTAGATAAGGAAAAGAAATCAGTGGTGTTGTGGAAGGTCCAGACAGATATCCCGATATGAGAAAGGTCTGGATTTGAGAGGCTTCATAGATGTAGAATCATAATATTCAAGCTACAAAGGACCTTAGTGTTTCCTAAAACAAATTCATGGCTCTCTTGGTCCCATATCTTTGCCCATGTCACTTACACTCAGTGACTAAAGCTCAGCAAAAATTTTACATTTTCTGTCAGAAGGCTTTGCAGAGAAGGGCTGGACAAATTCTACCATTTCCTATCTTCTATAACATCCTGTTCACATCATATGACTATAATTATTTATGTAAGCTCTTTATGGACGGGGGCTTATATTCATTTTTAAAATCTTTACTGTTTAACACAGTATATGAAATTTAATAGAGGCTCAATATCAATTTCTGAGTGAATAAAAATAAGTACACAAGTAATAATCCTATTCTTTCTTGGACTAATAAAATTATACCTGGGATATAGTTCTGCAAACTATAATTTGAGAGCAAATCAGAGTTTAAATGATTACCTAGTGATGGTAAACAGACCCAAAATCATGTCACCTGAGGACCAGCTGAAGGAACATGAACAATTAGCATGAATAAAAAAGTGAAGTCTCAGAGCCATTATCCTTCCATCCATCCAGCCAGCCAACAAATATTTATAGTTTGTGTCAAAGCACTGTGCTACGTGCTTGGACATACAACCGCGATCAAAATATCATCCTTGACCTCACAGAGCTTCAGTCTAGTGAAAGACAGAGGATCTAGTGAGGGACAGAGACTAAACAGTCAACACTTAGATAACATGGTAAGTGCTACACTTGAGAGACAGAGGGTGCTACAGGAGTGCTCACAGTGCTTGCCGAAGGCTTCCGAAGGAAGTAACCTTTAGGCTTCTAAGATAAAGTGTAAAAGGACTCAGTCAAAGAGAAAGGAAACTCTTTTTTGTTTGTTTCACAGAGAAAGAAAAGCATTATAAAGGCCCAGACAAAGCAGTTCTAAAAGCAGATCTTTTGGTATGGTTGCTGAGTGAAGTTTAAAGAAAAATTAGTTTAGAAAAAAGGTTGCAGATAAAGGCAGTGTTCCGGCATTAGAGAGCCACATATACTGTACTACTGAGAAGAGGAAACATTCAAGGGTTTGGGGTGAAGTCATTCTGGCTGCAGTGTAAAGAACAGGCTGGAGGGGGATAAGGGCTGGAGGAAAAAAAAACTAGTTAGAAAGCTGTTTTAATAATCTAGGTGTGAGATGACTGTGGCTTCAACTATGAAAGTGGCAGAGTGGAAATGAGAAGGTAGTCCCTAAAGCTTCTTTCTAAAAATCAGGGCAAAAAATAGGGTAACCCTGTTTCATGTGGCCAGAAAGTTAGAGAGATGACTAATAGAAATTATAAAAAGAAACAACTTTTGGCCCAATAAATATGTCTAAATATGAAATGAATTACCTGAGGAGGTGCTAAGTCCTCAACAACTTGAGGAGTTCAAGATAAGCCATTTCACAAAAAATTCAAAATGTTGAATTTTCAATGTTGGACAAGGGTAGATTATTTTATGATCTTTTCCAACTTTGAGATTCCACAGATCTACTGAATTTTATTTCAGTTTGCTATTTGGAGCTGCTCCTTATGCTTGATGGTAAAAATGAAATACTCAGGATTAACTTACATCAGAGGATATGGCTATGGAACCAATGTTCTCACAAGGAAAAATATACTATCAAATTTTAACATTTTTTAGTAACTGATATACTCTATGTTAAATTGAGTACCCACATTTCACAACTCTCCATCAAACAAAGAGTTTACAATATGCCTTAAGCTCTCACTGAGCTACAACTGTTATTACCATTCATACTAGTGACAAAACCAAAAACAGCAGCGGCTATCACTGTCTTCCATTTGCCTATACCATGCCAGAACTACGTCCAGTATCTCCCGTGTTCATTATAACCTGCAAAGTAGGTTTTATTCCCATTTTAAAGATGAGGAAATAGGCTTAGAAAGATTAAGTAATTCGCTTGAAGTCACAAAACTGGTAAGTGGGTAAAGGAGTTTGAACCAAGGCCTGTCTGACTCCTATGTCCATGCTTTTTCTACTACACACCAGTACCTTAAAAAGCTTGAGGAAAGTTTTAAAGAATAATAAAAAATAACTATCATTTATCAAGTGCCAGGCACCTTTACCTGCATTATTTCATTTCATTCATTTCTTCAGCTCACATTCATAGAATGCTTCACTTCAAAGAATGTCAGAAGATTTGACTTAGAGTAAAGTCTGAGTATAGCCGCTGAACAGAATGAAAATCATAATAATCCTCCAAAGTTGAAAAGTATTTGAGAGTTTTTAAGATGTTTTCACATCCATTAGCTCATGTAATCTTCTTTATAACCCTGTGAAGTAGGCAGAATGGGATTATTATCCCCATTTTACAAATAAGAAAACTAAGGATCAGAGTCACAAAGTTACTAAGTGGCAGAACTGGCTCTCAAAAAGGCTAAGAGTTCTGACTCCTAGTCTAGTGTTGTACTATTTCATGTTATCTTCTGGTGTCAGTGGGCAATGGAAAGTAATACGTTGCAGGAAAGAAAGGCAAGAGGAGGCAAATAGACAATGATAATAATAGAGTTAAATATATATCAAGTTGTAACAAAATACATCAAAATACTTGAACAAAAATTGATAAAGATATCTGGATATCAATACCTATGTATTGATATATGTAAAATTGATATACGTAAAATCCTATGTAAAAGGATTTTAAAGAATTCTAAGATGTTAAGACTGATGTTTATGCAAGGAACTCTGATTGAGAAGTATTAGAACTAGTTTTATTACTCAAATCTTAGTCCTGAAGTGCACCAACCAGGGAGCAAAACCAAATGTAATTATTGGTCTGACTTCTTATTTGATAATACTTTAATATTTCCATTATTTGTGAATAAAGTCAGAAAATATTTAATTTCAATTTATCTTACAAGTAATTTTTTTGGGGGAAAAATCCCACCAAACACTGATTTATGGATGGTGAAGGCTTTAGTTCTGGATTCGGTAAATTAAGATAGTACTTCCAGTTTGGTTCAGTTCCCATTCTTCCCTATTCCCTGTGTAATTAACCACCTTCCATTCCTTCTTGTTAGCTTGTTCTGTGGCCTACTGATTGGCAGGACTTGATGTGACAGCTGAGATGAAGTACATTGGATAATTAGGCAGACAAGAGCACAGGAATCACTGGTTTATGAGACAGAGACACATGGAATTCTTTTCCTAGTTGGTTAAAACTGGTTATAATCTAATCCCTGGTTTACCAATTCCCCTAATTTAACAGAAATGCAAGAAAAGTATCTTACCTAGCTCCAGGATGTCAGCAGCTTCTAGTAAAGAAAAAAATGATGGAGCATAAGTCATTAAGACAAACATATCAACACAATGGAAGGTGAAATTCGGGGCTAAAATAGGATATTGAGCATTTATCTAGTTCAGTTATCTTCTCCTAAAAGACACTGAGATTCTTAGTAGTTATTGTGGAAGCACACCACCCAATTTTGCCTTATTCCCAAACCTAAACTTATAAAAACTATAGAAAACCAGAGAGGCTAAGCAGCTATGCCTAAAACTTTGAAGCTAATTTGGGATCACCTATACTCAGAATCTAGGTTTCCTAGTTCCAGCTAAAACAAAGTATACTGCTTTTGACTGATACCTCTGTAAACTGCAATATTTGCCTCTGATATAACCAATGAGTTATTTGTAAACTGAAGCATTTAACAACAAAAATTTTATGGGAGAAGATATCAAGTAAAAGCTTTCCATGCCAAATGGAGTTTTTTCCCCCTTACCTTGATATTGGGATGCAGACTCTGATTGGTGACCATATTTGTGTTTTCTAACATCATTCCAGTCTATTACTGCAGGGGGAGACAAAAACAGTCACGTGAAAGAAAAATGTAAGATTCAATATGTTTCCAATTTGGCAGTATGTATTAACAGTTTTTAATAAAGTAATCCACTTCTGAGATTCTATACTAGGGAAAAATATTCCAAAATACAGGAAAAAGGTTTTATGTAAAAAGCTTTAGCATTATTTATAATAACAAAAAAAAGGAACACCTAAATGTTCAAAATAGAAGGCTGATTAAGATTTGATAATACAATCACTTGACAAAGTATTTTGAAGCTGTTAAATGTTTACAAAGGCTAAAGAACAAATGGGAAAATGTTTATGTTATAATGTTATTAGGTAAAATATGTAAACAAAAATTACATTCATGGAATGATCACAATTACATAAAACACTAAAAACAAATGGCGCCCTAATTATGGGCTCAACTGTTTCCTCCAAAACTTCATGCTGAAGTCCCCACTCTGCAGTACCGCAGAATGTAACTGTATTTGTGATAACAGCCCTGGGCTGTCTGGAGCAGCTGCTGTCATCATGCTGGCTACAGCAGGGATATCTAGTGGGAGCCTGGGAGCAGGTAGGAGTTTCACGATCTTCGGCACAGCTGTAGCTGCTCAAACCAAGGCTGCAGACCCAGACCTCCTGCTCCGTGGAGCAGGCAGGAGCCCTGTCCCAACAGGCACAGCTGCAGGCACCCAAATGCAGCTGCAGATCCAGACACTCCTGCACTTCTGGTGGTCTGGGAAGGACCCCTCTACCCTCGCAGGATCAGAAGTGCCTGCTCCCCCTGCCTGGCTTCTCCCTGCTGTCGGCGCTTGCTCTGAACTTGGAGAAAAGTCAGGGCACAGCCTGGGTGCTATGAATGGCAGCAGGAGGCAGATAGGTTCCTGAGCAGAAGCGGGTGGATCCCTGGTAAGGCACCCCCCTTCAGGCCAGGGAGGGCCTGAAGGCTAGGGGCTGAACTGCCAGTCCTGCAGACTGGAGTGGGGACTTGTGGTGCCTTTTCCTGGACTGCCCATGGTCGTTCACAGACCAATCAGCACTTCCTCCCCTCTGAGCTCCATAAAAGCTGCAGGATCGGCCAAAGCAGAGGACAGAGAGATGACTGGACGACCTGCCTGAAGAAAGGAGCCACCCACTCGAGGGCCTCCTCTTTGCTGAGAGCTGCAGAAATGCCGTGACAACCTGCCCGTGGAGAGAAGCCACCCACTCTAGGGTCTCCTCTCTGCCGAGAGCTGGAGATGATGGGACGACCAGCTGCAGAGAGGAGCCACCCTCTCTGCTAAGAAGTGAACACTTTTGGGACAACCTATCTGCAGAGAGGAGCTACCCTTTCTGCTAGGAGCTGAATACTCGTTGGAACATCCTGGCACTGTGGGTCTTCTCTGAGCTGTTCTATTGCTCAATACAGCGCCTCTTCATCTTGCTCGCCCTCTACTTATCTGTGTATCTCATTCTTCCTGGCTGCAGGACAAGAACTTGACTAAAAGAGTTACTGTAACACCAACAGGGCTGAAACATGCCCCTTGCTTGCCACATTGTGGGCTAAGAGAAGGAAGGAAAAGCTGTGGCCCTTTGGGGAGCCCAAACCTGGAAGCTTCCAGAGCCAGGGCTGTGATTCCCTCTTTAGGGTCCTGTGGTTCCTGGTGTCTCCAAGCTTTTGGGCGCCACTGCATTCCCTGGTGCCAGCCTGGGAAGCTGCTTGTGGTGAGCCTGGTCCAGCTGCAGCCTCACAAAGAGCTGGCACCCGTGCTGGCACCTGGGGCTGCCTGCCTCATGGCAGCAGCTGGTGTGTCTGACTGCACAGTAGATGAACCCCAAGCTTGCTCACACACACCACTCACCACTCCATTCCTGACTCCAGTCTCTCTTGGCGGCATGGTATCCAGGCTGATAGCGTGAGTAGCCTGCCAGGCCAAGTGGATGGAACGAGCCAGTGGGCCCAAGCAAAACTCAGGCAAAGGCGCCACTGACCACAGGTTTCCAGCCAGAAAAGTTACACCCCTAGGATCCTGCAATATTTGGAGAAAGGGTCTTTAAAAAGGTAAAGTTAAAATGAGGTCACTAAGGTGATCCCTAATTCAGCATGACTGGTGTCATTATAAGAAGAGAAAGTTTGGACACAGGTACAGAGAAAAGACCATGTAATGAACAGAGGAAGAAGCCTCAGAAGCTAAGTAGTGAGGCCTCAGAAGAAAGAAATCAACCTTGCCAACACCTTCATCTTAGACTTCTAGCCTTCAGAATTGAGAGGAAATAAATTTCTGTTTAAGCCACCTAGTCCATATTTGTTACAGCAGCCCTAGAAACTAATACAACCATGGGAAATTATCATTAGAAAAAACAGAATTAACACAGCAAATATAAACAAACAGCTGATTATCTTTGGGTGGGTACTAGGTTCCCTGGTACCACCCACACTTTCTATTTTATAACCTTACATATTTTCAAATTTTCTATAAAGAGGATACATTACTCATATAACAGGAATATATTTTCCTTGGTTGAAAATTTAGATTCATCTACCAACGCTACCACTTTCTCACCATCAATCACCTATCATGTCTTCACTTAACTTTTTGCTCAGCTCAGACTCCACGGCCCCTCATTAATATAATTCTCTCTCTCTCTTTTTTTTTTTTTTTTTTTTTTTTTGAGACAGAGTTTCGCTCGTTGCCCAGGCCGGAGTGCAATGGTGCAATCTCGGCTCACCGCAACCTCTGCCTCCTCGGTTCAAGCAATTCTCCTGCCTCAGCCTCCTGAGTAGCTGGGATTACAGGTGTGTGCCACTATGCCCAGCTAATTTTTTGTATTTTTAGTAGAGATGGGGTTTCATCATGTTGACCAGGATGGTCTCGATCTCTTGACCTCGTGATCTACCTGCCTCGGCCTCCCAAATTAATATAATTCTCTAATAAACACTCTTACTTCCTTCCCATCTCTCTTTTTTTTGTCAAACTTACCTACTAAAGGCTCAATCCTAAATCTGCTTAAAGCCACTTATCAACCTACACTGTGCCTACCTCAGCAGCTCACCAGTGCTGAAGAAAAACAAATGCAAGCTTATTGATCTCATTTTAAACTCACAGCTATAATTCTCAAATATGCCACTTTACACTGCCCAGAAATCATACCACATTTCTCCACTATCTTTATTTTTCCATTTTCTTTAAAAAAAAAAAAATCGTTATCTTTCTCTCTCTCGTAAACTCCAAATATATTCTCTCCCTCAACTTCACTCTCTTAGGGGATGACTTTTAATTCTGGATTCATTGAGAAAACATAAACAAAGGTAAGACCCTTCTACTCATTTCATGACAGTAGAGACCTGATCTTGTTTAGTGGTGAATCCCCAGTACATAGTATAGTAACATGTGCTCATTCAATGTTTGGTGAATAAATTACCTATCATTCATGATTTTTTCTGACTTCTCTTTTGTTACTGTGGATGAAATGTCTGTTTTTATCAAAAACCATCCCTCCATTTTAGCTGCAGATCCCATAGTCTCTCATCCTCTAACAGACTTTGCAAATAACCCCCTTCGATTTTTTTTTGCTATTATTTTTAATTGACCAACAATAATTTTATATATTTATGGGGCACAAAATGATGTTTAAATATATATATACACGGTGGAATGATCAAACCACAGTATAGCAATTAGTATATTCAATCATTTCAAATATTTATAATTTCTTTGTGGTGAGAACATTTAAAATTCTCTCTTTAGCTATTTTGAAAAATACATTATTAACTACAGTCAACATGCTCTGCAACAGAACACAAGAACTACTCCTCCTATCTAACCATAACTTGGTACTGTTGACCAATGTATCCCTTTTCCCACACCCACACCTCCCCTCCCAGCCTGTGGTTTATCACCATTCTACTCTCTACTTCTCTAAGTTAGACTTTTTTAGATTCTACATGTGAAATTATATAATATCTGTCTTTCTGTGCCTGACTTATGTTACTCAATATTATATCCTCTAGATTTATCCATGTTGTCAAAAATGACAGAATTTCCTATTTTTAAAGGCAGAATAATATTCCATTGTGCATATATACCACATTTTAAAATCCATCGAAAACTGATATACACTTATTTCCAAATCTTGTCTATTGTGAATACTGCTACAATGAATATGGGCACGCAGACAGAAGCTATCCCTTCAACATGATTTCAGTTCCTTTGGGTATACGGCCAGTAGTGGGATTGATGAAACATATAGTAATTTTATTTTTAGCGTTTTGAGGAACCTCCATCCTGTTTTTCAAAATGGCTGTGCTAACTTGCATTATCCATAACAGTGTATAAGGCTTCTTTTTTCTTCAAATCCTTGCCAACATTTATCTTTTCTTTTTTTTGATAATAGCTAACCTAACAGTTTTGGCTGTAGGATATCCCACTGTGGTTTTCATTTGTATCTCTCTGATGATTAGTGATGTTGGAAATTTTTTCATATATCTGTTGCTCACTTATATGTTTTCTTTTGAAAAAATGTCTATTCAAGTCCTTTGCTTATTTTTACTAGGGTTGTTTTCTTGTTACTGAGTAGTTTGAGTTCCTAGTAAATTTCAGATGTTAGTCCCTTCTCCAATGTATGATTTGCAAATATTTCCTCCCAACCTCTGGGTTGTTTCCTTTTCCGTGTGGTAGCTTTTCACTTTAATTCCATTTGTCTATTTTTGGTTTTATTGCTGATGCTTCTGAGTTCGTATCAAAGAAATCTCTGTCCAGACCTGTAGCAGTCTTATAATTTCAGTTTCATAGTTTCAAGTCTTTAATCCATTTTGAGTTGATTCTTGTATAAGAGATGAGATAAAGATCCACTTTCATTCTTCTGTATGTGGATATCCAGTTTTCCCAATACCATTTTTTGAACAGGTTGTGCTTTCCCCAGCGTGTGTTCTTGTCAAAAAGCAATTGACTGCAGATGTGTGGGTTTATTTCTAGGCTCTCTGTCCTATTTCATTGGTAGACTGTCTGTTTTTATGCCAGAA